GGGGGGGATCATCACTTTCGCCCGATCCAGGAAGGGCATTATGCAACGCGGGGCCGCTTTATTTCATTACGGGCGCAACAGATGTCACTCGCGTAGACCGGAGCAGGCACGCACGTCGCGCGAAAAAGGTGTATACTGCAAGGCAAGGCGCATATTTGCAGGTTTTACCTTAAAACATTTTCATTAAAAAGTCTAAATTTTAAAATTATCAGCCAATTGAATTGCGGTCCTTTGTCGAGCGAAGCTGATCGCGGTCGTAAATTTACCACATTCCGATTGTAAATCGACCTCGTTTCTAGGTCGTAAATTACAACAGATATTTTGTAAGTTCAACAAGGATAAATTTTTCACTGTTTGGTTTGCGACCCTGGCGGCGCAATAGTGTCACTTTCGTATCGATCTCGTGACTCGGTGGTGTACTTAGACGAGCAAAAATTGAGTGGTGGTAGGCCTACGACACCGACATACCAAAGGCCCACTTATTTATTCAACATTTTATATGACAACAATAACGCTTTCCCGTTTTACATCAGTTTTACATGCGTTCGTCGATGGCAATGGGAGCAGGGCCGCTCGCAGTTGTTAAAGCAAATATGATGTACCGTGCGCAGGCTGTGGCTGCAGCCACGCCACGCCTGGCCCAAAACTTTACCCGCAAGTACATCCCCATCGTGTTGCCATAAAGTTGTGATAGCGCCGCGGACCGACTGCCAAAAACAGGGCGCGGGGGCGCAAGGGGGACCGCAAACCTGGTCGGGGTTCGGTACTGCTGCCCCTGCTGCTGCCGGCGGAAATATGGAACGCGGCTGTCGTTCGGCAAACAATAGTAACCGCGAAAAAAAGGGGTGGAAGGGAATGGGGCGCAGAAAATTAGAACAAAGAAGACGGTGGAAAAAAAAGGAGAAGGAAACTATACGAGTGCGCTCCTTGGTCAGTCGTCTGCAGGGCGCCCTGAATAATGCATGAGCGAGAGAAAAAAAACGAGAAACAAACGTACGAAGCAGACCTATTCACTCAGGGCAAACAGCGCGCCGCGGTTTGTAAAACAATTAACTACTTTTATCGCGTTGTAATGACGCACGCTAATTTATTTCAAGTTTTAACACCTGCTGCTGCCGCAGTGGCCGGGCGCACTCACGGGGCGGAGCCCAGGCAGAGCCCGGCCGACAGGAGTGTGATTCAAATATATGGCGGTAATCAGGCGTTGTCAAGGCACTTTGGGGAACAAACAGGTGCGTGCATGGCGCCTTGTGGATGTGGTGGACATGTTCGATACCACTCGCACCGCCGTAAAAGAAGTTTAAGTGTTCTTTCGTTAAAAGCGGTCGGTGGCAAAACAGCTCTCGTCAAGTTCCGATGTGGCGTGTTTGTACAAGATTTTCTGATTTTCTCATCCGCTCTTATGTTGTGCGTTTTTGGTATTACGTCAGCTTTGGCAGAAGCTGCACTGTAAAAAATATATCCCATGGGATCATGCATGATGCCCGTTTCCCCTACCTTTTTGTATCGCGAAGCACCAGGGGGATGAGGAATGGCCCAATATCCGGTCGTGTTTTCTGCTGTGTCTGAGTGGTAAAGTGTAGGGGAAAGGGGGGGGGGCATAAGGAAAGAATTGGGAGGTGGAGGGGGGGGGGGATGCTCGGTGCTCGGGCTGAAGAAGATGTCCGGCCCGAGGAGATGACCACCACTTACAAGGCACATCGCATCGCCTTATCTATCGGACCCCATGTAAACGGAAACGGAGCCTGATAGTGGATTTTTGTCTCTGGGGCGGCTCGGGGGGCGTGTCCAAAAAGGCAGTTCTCTCTCTCTCGCACACACCTGCCGTAAGGCATGTCTGGCGGCGGCGACGGCGCGTCGTTGGTTCGTTGGAGAGACTTTGTTTTTCCACCGGTCGGGTCAGGTGGGCAACGACGGCGGCAAGGTCCCCAACGGCGCCGACCTCGCCCCGCCGCTCCAATACTCTAATTGTCCTGGGGGTCGCGGGGCTCGAGGGGGCGCGGCACGTGCAACCCCCCGGCAGGGCCCCGGCAGGGCCGTAAAGCGCGGCAGTTAAGGGAAGAGCAGGGCGAAAGGGCGCCCCGCCAATTTTAAACCGATTTGGGAGGAAAAGGGGTTAGATTTTATACTCACCCCCTCCTACCCCATCTGCGGCGAAGGGGAGGGG